GGGGGGAGAAGCAGTTGGAAATGGAAGGGAAGGGGGAGGGAGAGAAATGTGCGAGATGGCTGAGGAAATGAGGTCAGCTCAGCTGTGCTCTAGCAACGTCCAGCAAGACACAGCGCGAAATGCAGGGGAAGGGGAAGGAGGGTAGTGAGTTAAAGGACGGGCGGAGGGTCGCCCTCCTGTCCCTCCCTAGAGTTGGGACGAGGCGCACAGCACAGGGAGGGAAGCGTAGGGAAGCGAATCCTCACCTGTTTGTGCATCTCCACGTTGAGGCCGTACGACATCTCGTAGTACTGCAACACAGAAACAAGACGTCATTAGACAGATTACATTTTCAAAAGCTTTAAAGATAAGTACGCAATATCAGCAGCTTCATTCCCCCTCTTTTCTCTTTCAGTCGGCGCCTCTTGTTCAAGAGGACACACGCTGCTTCACAACATGACATTCCCTTTGGTTATATTTCCTAGTAGAGGCGCAGGCTCGGGCGCATGGCGGGGTTGGGCTGCCCGCGCCTTGTCAACATGGGTTGCAAGTACCGCGGCGTGGGCGGGGCGGGTATGTGGGGCTGACCACGCCCCGCCACGCCCCGCCACGCCCAGCGGCAAGGGCCCCCGCTCTCGTCGAGCTCCGCGCCGGGCCGCCGCCGCCGCTCGGGGCGCAGGATGGCGGCACTCCACGCCGGCCACTCGAGAGACGAGTGCTTTCGGCTTGTGATGCCTCGCGCCAACCACGCCGCGCCACGCTCGACGGAAAGGTACTGACCGGACCGAGCACTGGTATACTGGTGTACTCACCATGACATAGTGCCGCTGCATCTCAGTCTTCTCGCCCGCCAGCTTCTCGCACTCCATCTTGAGCCTGAAATCAAACAAAAAAGGCGAAACCGCAGCGTCAGAAAACATGGTCATAAATTGAGGAAAGGCGACAGGCCCCGGTTCGCTCCCCGTCTCTGATGCCCGCCCGGCCCCGCCAGGCGCGCAGGTGATGCCGCGGGCTGCCTACCCACCACCAGGCCCTGCATAAGGTGTAATGGGCCATACACCTTACACCTTAGCCCTGCCCCCCGCCCGCGGCATGCGGCACGCTGCAGTCGCCGCACGGTGCATTCCGGTTGGGTTTGCGGTGTGATTAAGCTCAACGGCTCTGTCCAGACCACCAGACCGCACCACACCTTCGGGAGTGTGTACAGTACTGCCTGGCTTTAATATCGTAGTTGCGACACGCGTGCAATAAAGGCGCGCACACGGCATGCGGCACGACGCGTGTGGACCCGCGGGGCGGTCAGCAGCACCACGCCGGTGCAACAGGCTACGTGTGTGAGCATCAGCTCCATGAGCAGCTCCATGAGCGGCTCCATGAGCGGCTCCATGAGCGGCTCCATGAGCGGCTCCATGAGCGGCTCCATGAGCGGCTCCATGAGCGGCTCCATGAGC